GGAGCTCCTGCAGGCAACCACAGTGGTGCTGGCAGCATGGGGGGTGGGTGGCCACTGGCAGTGTCAGCAGCGACAATCAGGGACCACCAACAGATGCTGCTGGCAGTGTTGGGAGTGAGGGGAAGTGGGGGGTGGCAAGTGGTGACTGTGGCTGAAAGCCACCTTGGTCTCTCCCCAAAAAATCTCTGCCCTGTGACACTGATTTAAATCTCTGTGCTGTGACCATTCAATTAGGGTGGGCCCAGCACACAGGGGACCACACCCTCAGCCTGTCTCTTTAGGGAACTGGAGCTGGCTGCATTCCTGAGGGAGGGGGAAACCTGCTCCCTCTGCTTACGTGACTTGCATCACTTACCTGGGTAAGGGGTTTCTACCTGGGGAGCTGGAATCTGCCCGGTAACTGGTGATGCATTTCAGATTGGTTGGCTGACAGCCAACTGGGGCTGACCTCCGCTGGCCCAGGTGAATGAGGTCACAGGGGCTATATAAGTTAGGACGGGGAAGGAGGCGGTCTCTCCTCTCCGGCCATGAGGTGACGCAGCAGCCAGGCAGGGGACAGAGAAGCCTTAACATCTGAAACTGGCTCTCTCCCCCCAAACTCATGAGCTAGGAACTGCCTGCCTCCAAAGGGAAACTTCACCTGCCTTTGGAAGATGCTTGTGAGTAAGCTACTCAATCTGATTAGATATTTAGCTGGAAGTATAACAGATGCGTAATCAAAAGGCTACCACAGCCAGACTGTTTGCTCTTTAGGATTTCTAGATATTGCTCTATCCTGTACCCTAGTTTACCCTACCCCCTGTAATCAATAAAGTTCTCCTTTTTGACTGGTGTGGGAGACTTATTGAGGGGTGGGTCTAAATTATGCCTAAGAGACCCCTTAGGTCTGTGGACTAAGGGAGACTATACCTTTTTGCCCCCGGACTTGGGGAAGTACCCCAAATGCCTGTACTGGGTTGAGTACCTGTGGGACTTTAGGCCTGTGTTACCCCAAGGACACAGGGCCGCGTGACAGTCCATTCTTGGGGTGGTGGCGGCACGTTACCCCCAGACTAGCGAGTGTGCACCGGGAGAGGGGTCGGCCGGACATAAGGCTCCCCTAGGGAGGCATTTGGAGCCTGGAAGGTGGTCGGGCGCAGGAAGGTGGGTGGCTCAACGCAGGAGCACCCCCTACTGACCCGCCTCACGTGGTGGAAACAGTGGAGGGATACGAATACCCAGCTGTGTTCCTGAGGTGGGATCTGCACCCGCCACAGCGACTGCCCGCAGGCACCATCAGCAGCATTGGTGGTGCTTTTTGCAGAGGGCGCACTGCCAAGCTTAGGGGGTACACGTGCACCTGCGTGCACCCTCTACGCATCGCTAATAATCCCCACCCTTTTCTTAGCCAACTGAAGCAGTGATAGTGCTCTGGGTAGGGAGGAGAGGGGCAGGGCCAACCCTGCTTGGCTGGAACGGACAGCCCAGCCCAGCTGATCCCAGTGCTACAGAGCATGCTGGAGGATTCTGATTTAACTTAAACCAGGAAGGGGTCTGGGACAGAAGTTTCATAAACTAGTTTGACCCAAGTCAGTTAAGTCTGATATTACATCCATCCAGGTTTATCTTAAACCACTTTTGGCCATTTTGAAACTGGTTTATGTGCACTGAACTTCTGTTCTGTTACAGGTTTAAACCAGTTTCTGATTATTTAAACCGGTTTATATGTTACTTCTATCCCTAGCCTTAGGGAGTGAATAGAATTTCAAGTGGTGAGAGGTTGCAAAGCCCACAAGAGACTTGCATCAGGGTATATTTGGCTCCTACCCAAGGGAGTACATGCATGAGTCTGACTCCAACATCCCCTTGTATAGATAGCTAGAGGTAAAATGATCTTTTAAAGTGGGTGAGACTGACAGGTTTCCTCTTTTAACCCTTTGCTTCCCTTGACAAGCTTGATCAACACAAATAGAAATAGATTTTTCTATTAATAGTGTTGTGGCTGCTGTCCTGAAATTCAGATGCAACTATTTCTTCCTATTCACCTTTCCTAATAACAGAAGTAAGACATTTTACAATGTTATACTTATTTTAAGAAAGTAACCTTTTGGAATGCTGTAGCAAACTTGTAGAAATTTTATACTACAGGAGCTAGTGGGTTAATGAATATTGGAAACAGCAGGAATGAAGTAGGACTTCCTCTCCTCTTTGCTACAACAGTGGCTCTGGTTTATATTGTTATAGCTTGATCCTGTAAATACTTGCCACCAAATATAGTGCTTATCCTCATAAGTAATCCCACTGACTTCAGTGAGGTACACATGAAAAGCACTGCTTTTGGTAGCTAGTTTATGTAGGATTGAACTCTAAGTTGTTATTGTGTCAATTAGAAGCTTATTTTTATCCTATTTCTGTTGAAAATGATCTTCCTGGCATTAAAAATATTTGTTTTAGTGACACTTCAGAAACATTATTTAAAAACTATATTGTTTTATTTGTGTTCATATATTGTAGCTGGAATACTTACTGACAGAGTAACTTCTTGGACATTTTCAAGGTTGACCAAACTGAATTCTGCATTCCCATTCTCATTATTCTGGCCTCTGAAAATCTGTTTTTCATTAAAAATGAAGGCTGCACTATGTCAGTCTCTACAACACAATCAGTCTCTTCTGGTCAGCCTTACGAAAACAAACTCAGAGCATTGATTCTCTTCTTGGGTGTGCATACACATGCTTATAATTGGAAACATAGCTGACAGTTCAAATATTTGGCCTTTAAGTATCCACTTAATTCTTGCATACTTACCCAGAAGTAACATCTGTTCAAGTCGATGGAAGTTTTTTCTGCATAAGAGCTTGAACTTGCTTGAATTTTATCTAATATTTTTATCATCTATATCACCAGACTGTAAATATATAAATCTTTCTAAAGATGGAAAACTGGTTGCTGCTTGTTGCTCAGATATATTTAGCTATATTTCTTTTAGTTCTAATTATCCAAGCATAACTACGTTAATTTGTTCTTTCTTTTTAATTAGTTTTTCAGATTAACGTGCAACAGAATTTTACTGTTTCTATTAACTTGTAGTTAGATACTTTTTTTAAAGGTTGTATTCCACCTTTCTTAATGAAAAGTCAATGTTCTTGTGGCCTCAGGACCAAGGGAACTACAGGAAAATTGAGTTCCCAGCAGTGGGGAGATGGCAGAAAGTTTATTAAGGTTTAATTCAGAATTCATTTAATGTAGATTTGACAAAACTGAATGTACTCTTTCTTACCCAGTATCTATGAAGTGTGGCAAAAACAGACAATGGAAAGTCTTATTTTTTTACTGTTGCTTACATTTTATTTAGCATTGATCACACCTCAGTTTTGGCTATTTGTTTTTATTTAACACTACATTTCAATACTTAGAAGTTCAATAAAATTGTAAATTCTGAAAAGAATTTTGTAAAGAGATGTGGCAAATATACAATCTGTCTGTAAGCCTCTTTTGTATGTTTTGTATTTGCATATTTCTCTCTATAAAAGCAGGCCTTCTTGAACAGTACCTTGTATACCACCAAGGAGTGCTTACTGTTTGGTCTGCAGAAAGCTGTTTGGGCATATATGATGAAGGTCCCTTCCTTGTTTACAGCTATACATTTCTGTAAAGAAACTGCAAATCCTATCAACATTATTGATTTCCCAGGCAAGAAATAGCTATTCACAGTACAAGTACATCATTTAAGCCTAAACAGGAGGCAAGGTAGGCCATGGTCCCGTTGTGAAATGGCAAGGAGTTCTTAGGGCATGTGTAGACAAAACAAGGGGCATGTGTGCACGACACTTTAAAGTGGGTTAAATGCTTTGGCACTGCTTTAATGGTGTTGGTGTTTGCACACATCAGCAGCATACTATGCATTAACTCCAGCTGCTGTAGCACATTCGGCAGCATAATGTGCCTTAAATGACTTCAGGGCGCAGCAAATTAAAATACCTCTGAGGAGTTTTAGTTTGCCCTACTGCCATGGAGCGAAGCACCGGGCTCTGTGCTGCTCAGGGACTGTGCAGGCAGCCTGGCAGCAGCCCAGGAAGGCAGGCTCCACTGAAGGGGATAAAAAAAAAGAAAAAATATCAGGCTCACCATTTTTGTGTTTTGTTTTTTCCCCCCCCCCCCCTGGAGCCTGCCTGCCTGCCTGTCTGAGCTGCACAGGGACCCAGTCCTTCCCTCCGTGGCTGTGGTGTCCCGCTGGGACTGTCCAAGTTGGGTGCCTGCAGGCAGGTGCTGCCTGGGAAGGAACTGCTGCTGGAGAGGGAACCACCAGCCCTCCCCTCCCACCCCTGCAGCCCAGGGACCACTCCATCCGCTGGCAGCTCACCCTCCCCTCCCTGCCACCAGAGAGGCAGGTAAGACACGGGTGTACACAACACGGGGATTTACTTTGCCCTAAATTGAAGTGGTGTTTTCAAAAATCCACCGCCTCAGTTTAGGGTCCCCGTTTTGTCTACACACGCCCTTAGAGACAATTTAGATGGGATTTATTCTGAAAAATTTGAGTGCCCCCACGTAACTTTAATAGCACCAGACACTTTCTCAGGAAGACTGTCAATATCCTTCATGTAATCAGTCATATTTTCTTCTAAGAATCATTTGACAAAGGGAGAGGCAAGGTAGTCTGTCAGGTCACCTGATGAAATATGTCTTGTATTCAAAAGCTTATCTAAGTCTATCACAACTACAGGTAGATCAGTAAAACATCACCCTAAGAAATCCTTACATCTCACATAATTTCTGGACCATCATAGCTACAACATTACTCTTACGCTATATTGACAAAGGGATTAATTTCTAAATCATAGACTCTTAAATATCCAGAGTCATGACTTCCTATGAGATGCAGTAAAAATCTTTGAACACCAACTACTTGGAATCCTAACTTCACACATGATTAGTGCTGAGGTAGGGAACATTTTTAAGTTGAATATTTTTAATAGGAGACTTTTTTTTCATAAACTCCCAATTTATTATTTTTGTAGGATGAAAGAAGTTGGAACAGCAATGGTAAAAAAGGGAATGAAAGTGTATAACATTCACAGAGTATGCCAGCACCTTAGACTTGGTCAGCTGAAGGGAAATCACTTTGATATAACTGTGAGAGATCTAGGGCTCCAACAAGATGATTCTTCTGCAGATCTGAAAGAGAGAATATCAGAAGCAATTGAGAACATTAAGGTAAAGTAATTCCACAATTTAAATTTCAACACTGTGATATTTTTTACCCTGTCTAAAAAAAATGTTTATTTGGTTTTTGAAACTAAAACAAATGTGCTTTGTTGTCTGCCTGTTCATTCTATCTTCTGTCTCTAGTTCGTTGGCTGTGGCAACATTTACCTGTTTTGGATAATGTCTTCCCTTCAACTTGTTTTCACAGTCCAAGGGATGAGGAATAGATCAGCTTTCTAAATAAGGAGGACAATTATTATGGCTGCAGTGTTGAATAAATAAAAATGTGGATGCCGCAATAGATGGGGATATGGCAAATGAACTGAAGAGACTGGGAGACAATTTAGAGACAAAGATAGTTATGATGTACCTGCCCCATCTCTTACATTTGTTGGGAGTGGGAGCATATAAATCAAATAAGTGAATAAATAGGAAAATCCATGATTTGTTTATGTAAAATGCATAGGTTTTCATGGGCTTTGGATAGAAAAGATAACACTGAAAATGCAAGTAGAAAAGAAAGGAAATTTCATGGCACTTCTTGTAGATTCTGACAGGACCTGTCCTGACTGACTAAAGTAAGTCATTTGACAGGAACTTGAATTAGCGAGAAGAGTAGAGGGACATTAGAAAGAGAGAAATTATTTTATCTGCATGTATTATACTAAACAATATTTCTTTCTTTCTCTCTTTGCTCAGTAATGGTCATCATACCTGCTGTTTCAAGATAATTAATTCAGGAATAAAGATAAAGTTGAGAAGAATCCTCTCTAATTTATTTATACTTTAGAAATTTTTGGATGTTATTTTCACAAAGGAATCCTCAGTTATTGCTTTAATTCGTCCATTCTAGTTTTGATTTCATTTTGTACAAGGCAAACAGACTGAGGTTTTATTTATTTATTTATTTTAATGACGTGGTTTTCCTTGAAAAGGGAAATAACCTATCAGATATTGGATGCTTATTGATTAGATTGCTTGTGTCCTGGCTGTAAACAAACTAATTCAGCATTGGGATTTCAGTTTTTTTATGTGTACAAATGGACCTGTGGATTCTAACCTGGTATTGAGCATATTTAAATCTTTATAGCTGTGCTGTATTTTAGCCCTCAGTGGGTCATGAAACTAATTTCCCTGGCCCGGTTTTATTCTGGCAAACAGTCGGAACCCTCACCAGGAAGTTCTAAAATCCTAAACACTGGCTTAAGAGATGGAGTCATCTCATGACAAGAGGTTTTGTTTTTTTTAGGAGACAATATCCAGCATCGCTTCATATTTCTGTTCTGTTTCAATGCAACCACTGCTTAGGTGTTTCAAATCTTTTTATACAGATCGTACTGAGGCAAAACTCCTATTAATGTTGATTTCAATGAGAACTTTGTGCAACTTAAGCATTTGGCACATGGAAAATACTCAATTAGTTTGATATGATATACAGTAGGTAATGATTAATGTATGCAGAAACATTTTGATTTGGTTTATTTTCATGGAGAAGCTTAGCTTTTTGAGAGGGAGCGCGAAGAAGCATCTCTTCCTGGTGAATTCCTGGGTATGTCTGCATAAGGTACTTGCTATGCAGAAACCTAATAACACTGCGCAGTAGCGTGCTAGTCAAAAACCATGCTAATATGCTACTGCGCAGTGTTATTAGGCTACCATGCAATAAGCATCACAGAAAAAACAAGCGCCAGTGCTGCGGTGCAGTAACTGTAGTTACTGAGCATTTAAGCAAGTACTAAACTAAATGCACAGTAACTGCTGTGCATTAACAAATGTGTGGACGGGCCCTTTGTGTGCATGTGGTTGAACAAGTCATTCATGCCTACATCCTCAAAGTCATGTAAGCACCTACTGCATTTTCATATGTGTAAGCACCACAGCGCTGGGTGCTTCAAAAAGTGCCTAGCGCTGCAACGTTTGCAGTTATATAAGCGGCAAAATGCACGACGGCGCTGCAAAAATGGCAGTGGTGCACTTTTGAATGAAAACATATCGGAAGTGCTTTAGTTAAAAAATCCACTGTGTCTGTTTTCTGCACGCTTATGCGCATTTTGCCGCTTATACAACTACGTGCAGTGCAGTATGCCTCAACTCTCGTGCAGAGCAAGCTCAATCAAGCCTGCTCTGAACGGGCGGATCTCTGGCACATTGTGGGACAGAAAAGTATGTGTGTAAATTCCCCTAATGTCTAATTTGACATTAATTTTCCACAGAAATCTATGATGGCTGGCTAGCTAAGTACCTTTGTGCATCTCGTTCTCAGTGGATGCATCTACATGTGCCAGGATTAGGACACAGTAAATTAACTAACTCCACCATCAAATAGTAGTGTTAGTGACAGTACTGCCTTACAACAGAAACAGTAACTGCATTGAAATGGGTGTGTAAACAGTGACAGGAGGGTGGATTGATTTAAATCATTGATTTAAATCACCAAGAGAGAGCCTTGATTTAAATCATTGATTTTTTTAAATCAAATTTCCCACTGATACTTCTTCACATATTTTTTAAACAGTGGTGCAAATCAGATCACTAAAACATGTTAATTTACAACTCAATATAGCATTTTATAACATCTGTCCTTAAACACTACTTTTTTTAATTTTCAAATTTTATTAACTGTAACAGACAAGTCATCACAACACTAAACATACGCTGTCCTTAAAACTTCTACAACTAGATCTCATCTCCCCCACTCCCACTGTCTTTTTTTATTCATAGACTGAAACAGAAATATGAAGTTTTCCTGCATTTTCAGCTCCCAGTCGATTTTCTTAGCTTTGAGTGAATAATACCAAATTTTGAAAATATTCTCTCTGTACCTGCAGAGGGAGCTACTGCTGTGAAAAGTTGGCCTAGCAACTGAAGGAACTCTGTTTCAAGGTGCCTGGCTAATGATTTCCACCAATTCAGGAGAGTGACCTTGTTCAAAACATCATCAGTAAACATGTACTGTTTAAATGGTTCCCCTCCAGCCCTTAAATTTGTTATGACTGGTATTACTGAGGAATGATTTTGAGATGCCCATGCAATGGCAGCATCATCTTCAGAAGTTAGGCATCTTTCTTTATATCTGGGGTTGAAAAAGTTTGCATTAAAATGTGGTGGAGTTAGTGCTTGATCCATTTGCTTCTTTATTGCCTGCAGTTTAACTTTCTAGTTATGTGTTTCTTTCTTCAGTGTCTCTTGAAGTGCCTTCCAAATTTCAACAGCATCAACAGTGCAGCAACAATTTCTCTGAAGTTTGTTTAAGGCTATGGATATAGGCTTCAGTATACCCAGCATATCCTCTACATTTCTCTTTAATCCAATGTTAGATACTTTGGATGATATACTTCCATCTATTTTATCATGGTTTCCTTCACAAATTTTTATGAGAATAGGTCAGTTCTTAATAAATTGTTCAAAAGTGTCAACCACAGAATTCCATCGAACATCTTAAGGGAGAATTAGTTTGGATCCTCCTGCTCTTTTTAGTGAAGCTGAAGCAAAATGGTTGTTATGGAAATATTTTGCGACTTCAACAACATTTTTCTTTTATTTCTGGAGAGGTACTTAAGTCTTTGGCTAAAAGATGCGTTATATGGGCACTGCAGCCAGATGTTATTAAAGAGCATCCTTCTGTTTCTTCTTTTAAATATCTTCTCATCTTTGCCATGTTTGCAGCATTGTCTATGCCAAAACTGCGCAAGTGATGGTTCAGTTCTTGTTTGCAGTTTATTACCGCTTTCACTGCCACTTCTTTTAAATATTCTGCTGTGTGGGCATTTCCCAATGTATCTTTCAGAAACAATAGATATGCACCCCAATCTTCTGTTGTCACGCAGGCACATATTACTGTCATTGTGTACATTGCTCCACCCATCAAGGCTTAAACTGGCAAATTTCCCCTCCGTATTTCTTGCACACTGTTCAGGTTCCTTCTAATGCACTGTATCTAGCAACCTTCCACCAGTGTCTGCTCTGCCAGGGAGAGTGTAGCTTGGTCGTAAGGACTCAGCCATGTCAATGAAGTGTTTATTGTTAACAATGCAAAAAGGAGAATTTGTGGCATAAATGAACTGAGCAATCTTTTTATGATGTCTTGTTGGTATTTGCTGGTCTTTACTGTAAACCCATCCATGGTGGTGGTTTACTGAATAATTGAAATTTTTTGCTTGCTACTGATACTTTGTTGTCTGAAATATGTTTAGTTACAGCACTGCTGTTAAAAGTACCAACAGAAGACTCTGAAGTTGTTGCAGATAGACAAAGTCTCTTATGCTTAAATGGGATCTGGAAACAAAAATGATTTTTGAATAGTCATTCTTCTCAGTTCTTCTCACTCTATTATTCAGTTAATCATTTACACTTTTTTCAGCTAGGATGCGGATCTGATTCCAAATTACCAAAAAAGCTAAGACTGACTGCACTAGAGTGCACTTAATTTTGGAGTAAGCCCCACTGAATTTGCCGGCACTTCTGTTTTTTGAGAAAACAAGTATAGGATGGGGTTTCCTTGGAAAAGCTGAGCTACACTAAAGTAAAATATGGTATAGACTTATGGCATCCCCACTATGGTCTGGGGCCATGATGTTCCAAAATAAGGGGCAGGTATTATGCAATATAAAATAAGAAAATGACACCCAGTGGCAACTGGCAACTCTAGACTTCTAGATTTCTCTTCCTGCAGCTTTCTATACCGTAAGCTTGGGTAATAGATTCTAAATTTGGTTAACTAATTAAACAAGCCATAAGGATTAGCTAAGATAAACTTCTTTTTCTAGCAACATCCAACATGGCAAACACCTTGGGAATTTACTTGTTAAATCACACTTGTACTAAAAGGCATAGAGAGTCTTGAAGAATGATGCATTGCAAAGTGAATTATTTAATTTACTAACCAGCTGATCCATATTGTTCTTCAGACATATCCAGATCTTCATTCACATCATTTTCTCCCAATAAGCAGTTTTCATTATGATGTTTCATTCTTGTAACTAGGCCCTGCATCTCCTTCTTGCACTTCTTACACTTAACACGTTTGTTTGTTTGTTTGTTTGTTTGTTTTACCTAGGGAAGGAATTTCTTCAAAATATTCCCAGATAGGGTCTCTCTTATGCCTAGAAGCCCTGACACTTTTTTCTGTGGCAAAAGTATTGGGGAATATAGGAAGCTGTGTGTGTACTACTGAATAATGTCGTCCCTTTTTCTTTCCAGTCCTCTCCATTGTTCCTTTCTACTCTGCCTCCGTCCTTTCCTATGTTGTCTCTCTGTCTTTAAGACAGTGTCTTAACTGACTCCTCTGCCTTGCTTGGCCCAGCTTTACCACCACTTAAGCACAGAACAGCAACAATCCTACCCAGCCTGGGTCTTTGCACTTGCAACTTTAATCTGCTGAGAAACAGAAACTGAAAGCCCAGAACTTTCAAGAAGCAAGAGCTGGTAGTTAGGCTGGACAGACAGACTAGAGCCATTTTCATGAGATGAAAAACTGAAATGAATGCCCATTAGGGCTGTGCGAAACAGCACCGTTCCGCTTTGACTTCTGTTTTGACATTTTGAAGGAACAGGTTGTTGTTTCGAGTTTAGTTTAGTTTCGAAAGCACTGTTCCGTTTTGTTTCATCAAAACAGTTTTGCTGTTTCAATGTTTCACCTGTAGGCTATAATGAGGAAGTACGAAACTGGAGGAGGATCAGCCTCCTGTGGTCGCAGGCAGATTGGGGGCCTGCACCCCCAGAGGAGTCCGGCAGAGCCCCACAGCCCTCCTGGGGGTGCAGGCGGGAGGCTGCTGCTTGGGACTGGCGCTGGGAGTTGAGCCCAGTGGTGGGAGGCAGAGCGCAGTGCCGGCTTTGCCCACCTTTCACCACGGGCCTGAACTCCGTGGAGCAATTTGTTTCATTTTGAGGCTGTTTCGAAGCACTTCATTTTGTTTTGACGCTGTTTTGACTTGTTTCAAGCTCAAAACAGCTAAATCGAAATGAAACAGCTGGCGAAGTGTTGCGCAGCCCCAGTGCCCGTGTTTGATTGGTAGGTAACTCAACATGTGAGTGTGATAGACCCATTAATTCATTTTTATGAGACTAAGTGTAGGTTTAGCATGTTTGTGATGAGATTTAATTGTAACTGTTATTTTTTTAAATGAGAGAAATTTAGTATTTTATTGATGATTTAAATTTTTTAAAGAAAATCTGATTTAAATACAAAAGAATCTGATTTTAAATAAAAAAAAAAAAAAAAATCCATTTTAAAAATTCTTTTTATTTATTTTTTTTAAATTATTGATTTTTATCCACCCTGACAGGAGTTGACCAGGGGTACAAGGGTGCTGAAGTGTGGGGGCTGCCTGCCACCTAGCCACAGCCCTGCACTATCAGCATCCTCATGCTCTAGCCGGCCTCTCTGCTGCCTCATGCCACCACCTGGAGCCTGTATGGCAGCGGTGCTCCCTACCCGCTCGAGGCTGCTTGTACCCTTGCCCAGAGTGCTGTTGTCCTGGGTGCACACGTAGACGCTGTGCCCAGGAGCTGTCAACTCAAGGTGAAACGACCATAGAGTTTGTGTTGCATTAATTGCATGTATAGATGCACCCAGTTACTGTTTTTCAAAAGTGCACTTATAGCTCCCATTGTGCTTAGTTACAGGTCTTGTGTGAGGTGCTTCTAAAAATCAGGAGACTCCCTTTTTATTCATTTGTAAAATGGAGAAACTGTTAAGAGCTGTAATTAAGTAGAGCAGTTTATAAACTTTAATGAACTACATACTGATACTATTAAAGAATTTTCATTTTGATATACATTTTTATTGTAAAAATAATTTGTAATAAGAAAACTGAATGTAAATGTGCTGTGCTATGTATTTACTTAATGTTCAGTAGGTATTCATACTTTTAACCATTTTATTTCTTTCTAATTGTAGACTAACGGATTTGTAAATTACTATGGACCTCAGCGATTTGGGCAGGGACAAAATGTTCGGACAGATCAAATTGGACTGGCTTTGCTGAATGAAGAAATGGTATTTATTTCACAATGTAAATAGCTACAGTCATCTCTTTCCACAGTTACAATTGTAATGTCTGAGTCTAGTGTTGGAGATGACCATCCCATTGAACAGTCATCTCATTTGTGACATAAACAGCGAGAGTAATTTTTTGAAGAGATTGCAAAATCACTTTCTACAGTGGTGTATAGTCTAAAGTTAAATATTAAGTGTAATTTTTTTAAAGGCTGGGAAGTGGTTTTCTGTCTTGTCCTGGAGATATCACACTGGTTGTCAGAAAAAAACTGAATTATCTAATGGGTGACTATTTTCAATTCAGCTCAAAAGAATTAACATTAAAAACTTCTCCTCCCCTCTGCAAGTGCTTCTTAACTTGTGAACTTTTGAACTGTGCTGAGTATAGTTGGTGCAGTTTTCTATAAAGGTCCACAGGATTGTTAAATATGAGCTATTCTAAAAATTAAATGTGCCAGTTATTACAGTGTGTGGTTTACTCAAAACATGGCTGCATCTCATTACTCCTTTGCTTCTGTTGCTTAGCCAGTTTTCAGGCCACATACGTATTCCTATGCAACTAATTAATTTCATGAGTCAGGCCGTAAACTCAAAAGAGAACACAGTAGACACTCTGATTTCATACTTGTGGCATTTTAGCACTTTTTCTGAGAGGAGAGAATCTGAGCATGCTGGAAAGATCTTTGCACAGATATAAATAGCTATGCAATATGTAAGGAAGTAGACAGTTGGGATCACTGCATCAGATCTTAAACTAGATATCTGAGGTACACTGTCTTTACTTACTCCTAGTTACACTGAGCAAGAGGAGAATCAAATCCTTATAGCAAGAGGACAGTGTCCTTCAGAATAATTTTTACTGTATGTGACTTTTGAGGCAGAATAAAAATTACCATTACTGTTATCTAGTTGCAGCTGGTTAGTAACTTAAATCTCTCTAGTCTTAGTTCTGATAGCATTCAAATTACAAGTAGATTAATTTTTTTAGCAAACGTGCATGTTTCCCTACACAGCCTGATACAGAGCAGGAAGATGGGTGGTAATGGCTTGAGACCGTCTGTCTGACGCAGGGAATAGCAGCTGGGGCTTTGCATGTCAGTGAGCTGTAGCTGTATTAGTGGTAGAAACAAGGAAAGTTTTGAAGTGGAAAGGTTTAAGTTATTTCTATCAGAGTATCCTCTAGTTTTATAAGTACTCTTCTGTGTGTGAGGCTGTGGAAATCCCTCAGAATAAGCATTCCTAGCTTAGGTCTCTATAGACTTTGTTGGAGGGGAGCAAAGGGGGTGACTGCTCTAGGCAGCATACAGACTTTGCAACCAGGAATATTTCCAGGTGGTAATTAAGGAAAAAGCAATAATCCCTGCATCATTTGTTTTCCCCTCTGCAAGATTGAAGACTGTTCTTAGCCTTCCATGTGACTGCAAACCCTTCCTTCCAGCCTAGAGAAGAATGCTCTAGACCAGTGGTTTTCAGACTGTGTCTGCAGAAACTTAGGGTTCCATAATAGTTAATCGGGAGTAGGAGGTGGCAGAAGAAGTGGTATGAAATAGTTACATGACTCAAAGTCTGAAAACTACTGCACTAGACCAGTGTATCAGACTCATCCCGCTCCTCCGGTCAGATCCAGGTGTGGTGGCAGAGTGAGCTGCAGCAGCAGGACAAGGGGCAGCAGAAGTAAATCAAACATTACTCATGCTCTAGTGCTGACACCAGTTGTGAACGGGACTCTGTGCCTCAAATTTCAGTAGCCCCACTCCTGCTTGCCCTCCATTCAATTTCCTGACCCCTTTACCAGCCCCATGGGCCCTAGGACAATTTTGCAGACTCAGTTTTCCCCAAAAACCAAATGTTTGATATCCTTGCACTAGATCCTCTTATTTCATGTGTGGCATTTTGGAACTTCAGATGGATAGAGGAAGAGAATTTGAGTCATCAGTCTTAAGGTACGGTCAGATTCTGAGATGTAATAGTGGTTCTCAACTTCATTAGATTCAAGGCACCCCTCATTAGATTCAGAGCACCCCCTAGAAGATGCCAGGGCTTAGTTTTCCTGCCTTTTTTGACTGCAGAAAATAATAGAGCGGTTCTTCTGTTGCAAAGAACTCAGAAACAACATAGCAGGTTAAAATGTTTTTAATACTGTGGATTCCTATTTGAAATCTCTGGTTTTATCTTGTGACTTATGTTTGCACACCTAATAGTGATGATAATGTCGCACCCTGAGGCACCCTTGAAAAAGGATCTCTGGTTTGAAATCTCTGGCACCCTGGTTGAGATTCACTGCAAAAGAGTATCCCATCAAAAAACTCACAGGTGGGGGTTTCTTCATCAGTTAATTGCTTTAAAACAGAGACAGTATAATTTAATGTATTATTTTTAAAGGTAAAAGCTATGAAGTTATTTTTCACACCAGAAGATACAGATGATCCTGTAAACCAGGCAAAGAAGTATTTTCTTCAGACTGGTAAGTCTCATTTTTAAAATGTGTTTCATGAAAGTTCTTCTACATAGTAAGAATCTTATTCTTCTCTCACTTTGGATTTATGCCAATCATACTACTTCCACTGGATTTAATGGAGTTTATTGCTGAACATGAATGGGAAATCAGGCCCCAAACATACAAACTATCAAAATAACACCACTCTGTTTTCTGTATTAATTTGCCAAGCAATTTTTTGTTAAGATTTTAATATGGATTCTAGTTTAAATTCACAGGGATTTAAGATTTACTGAGACTGTTACTCAGTGCTGCCTTGTCACCAGTTTGAATTTCCCAGAATGAGAGTAGAGTAAAAGCCAAGTGGACACTCAGGATTTGGTCATACACATCTTGTCTTGAAGTCACATTTACTTTACAAGATATTGTTTTGAAAATGAAAAAGGACATATTTTAACATGTTTTAAATTGAATGTGGTCTTATGTTTTAATCTTTCTGTTTGTAGTGAAGATGTGCCTTTGGCACTAGCTATGGCATGTACATTTCCTGCAATACTGTTTTGAACTTTGTGCTGACTTATTCTTTTTTAAAACTCTGAATGCTCTAAATCAGTCCTGGCCAAGTTTCTTTGGGTGAATCTGATATCTTTTATTAGACCAACTTAAATAGTTGGAAAAAAATTTCTTAGAGAGCTTTTGGGTTTAAAAACTCTTCGTCAGGCTGAGGAAGCATCTACAGTCAGTATGTGTGCTCTTCCTGGATGGAATGAATAGTAAAGAAGCCAGAGGCTGGTATGCATGCAAGAAAAGAACCTTGTCTGCCTATATCCGTAGACCAACACAGCTACAACCTACACCCCTAAATCAATCCCTAGTTTTACTCTGTACAAAATGACTAGAAGATGCTGCCATTTCCCAAGGTGCAGGGCAGTGGAGAAACTTCATTTCTAGCAGAGACTTTACTGAAAAAGATTGCATACTGAAGAAGATTGGAAGGGTTTCTCAAGACTGTGCCCTTTCTCCCCCTATTTAGAATACCATAATCTTTGGTGAGGAGCTTCAGAGGAAGATAAGAGTTGTAGGCCCAGTTGCAGCTGAAACTGAATGCAAGTTAGATGTTCAGCTCTCTTAGCTTCCTGAGAACCACAACTTTTGTTGTTTACAATATTTATTGGACACTCCAAAAACAAACAAACAAAAAAAAAAAAAGATGAAAGGCTCCCTGAGCCTACTAATACACCAAGTCAGTGTGTAAAGAAGTGTTCATTTCTGTAGATAGAAAGCACACAAGGAAATACTAAGACTAGCATCACATTGCTCCCCAGTCTGAATGACCAGTGCCAGATATAGCTGGGTTGATAGGGAGAGGGCAGCCTCAGCATGAATTCAGACTGGGGCTCAAACTTGCCTCTGGAATTGTAGCGGACTTCTTAATTGCTTTGCCATTGGGCCTTCTGTTGGAAATTATTTCTACATGTTACACAAATTACCAATTGCTCAAATTACGAGCAAGACTTTATAAAGGGGGATAAGGCAAAGTGCTGCATTTATTGATTACATGAGTTAGACATAGAGGTTCGAGCACACCATTCATACAAACGCACACAAATCATCATACACATCATTACACAGAGACATACACATACACAAAACAACCATTTCATCCACACACACACCAGATATAGTTACCAGTAGTAGTTGCTCAGCATCAGCCCAGGGTGGCCAACCTGGGCTTATTGAGTAGATGGTGATTTAAAGATAACAGCTGGAGCGGGGTGAACAAATGCATCTGTGCTCCGATGAAACAGCAGTAGAGAAAGAGACTCACCTAACTTGGCATTTTCAAAGTGCTCTTTTATAGGGATTGGCATCCTTTGTTTCAGTACTTTGGGGTTTTTCTATACCCAGCTTTTGTTTCTGTGGTTGTTCTTCTTTTGTCTTCAGTTTATCTTAGCCTTGGAGTGTTCTTGTTGCCCGTCTGGTGGAATTTCTTCTTTTGTTATCTACTTTGTGCCCTCAAGCTTCAAAGCGATTCTTCAGCTGTTTGTTAGTTAGTTACTGGCTGGTAACTTACATTTGATGCCTTGTTGCTTACATAAACAGTTGACTCTTCTCCTGTCTCTATGCCATTTTCTCACCATTCACCCTTTTACACACACTTATACATAAAGGCTATGCAGAGCTCATTCACTTATGTCAAGCAGAAGATACAAAATGGAGTTCTCAAGTTGCTTACAGGACAAGACTAACATGGTTGTACTTCACTATTATTACATTTTATGTTAGCATCAGCTACATTAGTTCAGTTCATGCTACATATGCAGTTAGTGAGTGTGGAGTGTTGTTGCAGTGGTGGTGGTTCAGGCAGTGTGCAAAAGTCGATCAAAAATAGGTTTGTCATCTTTTTATTGGAGCAACTCTGTAGTTAGGAGAGATGTTAGATGAGCTCATCTAACATCTCTCCTAACTGTGTGGTTGCTCCAGTAAAAGGTTTTAATAAACAAGTCCTTGTTTCTTGTTCTGTGGAATTGGTTTTCAATTCTTTATGTCCCTTGTATTGAATCTCTGACATAATTCCTGTCTTATGTTAAACTCAACACTGAAACATTCATAAAGGGTGTAAACAGACACAACATTGTGAAGTGTTTAAAATATAATGGAGTTTGAAACCTTTCAACCCTGCCCGCCCCCCAAAAAACCAAAACAAAACAAAAACCCAACCATGGAGAGACATGCAGCCCTCCCCATTATACCTCCTGGCTGGAGTACTTTATGTAAAGTTCCACTCCTCCCTCCCTGCCCAAGGCAGGAGTAGAGTAGACTGTCAGTGAAGCCCTGCAGGCCCCCTCTCCTGGGTCTGATTGTCATTGAGAGCTATCTTGTTCACTGCATTCTGCCAAAACCAGGAGACCCCTTGCCACTGTGCTAGATACTTGAAATCAAACATGGAGAAGTACATGGGAATTGGGGTCTGGAGAGCAGGAATCCTGGTTCTGGATGGGGGGTGTGGTGCAGAGTCTCCTGGCTCTGGCAATCCCTGCAGCACCTAAAACAGAGTCTCTAGAGTAGCAGCAGCCAGGAGGTGGGAAGATGGGTGGGCAGTAGGATGAGAAGAGCTCTGCATTGTTTTATGCTTGAAGAACTGCACTACCATGCACATACATGGTTCAGAATAATACTTGCTCTTTCTTTGTATATTTGTCACATTTTGAGCATTTTATTCCATAGATACGTTTGAATGCTAGCCTTTCAAATGTTATGCCTGTTTCCAGCCAGAGACTAGAATCTGTCTTCAAATTAAAATGACCTATTTCTGACACCTGTGTTTCTGCTGTTATCCATCTTAAATTTACTCTCAAAGCCAAAAATCTTGGAGTCACTGTTAATTCCAAATGTATTTATCAGATCCCCCCACATTTGTACATCTGCTTATTATTATATGTTGACAAGTTAGCTAGGGTATGTGGTTTCAGGGGAGGGCAGATGTACTTCATTTTTGCAGATTAAATAAGGCGAACTTTTCTGCCTTATGCTAGTCTGAGGCACAAAAATACATTTGACATGGCCTCCAAAGTCATCAGCTTGCCTTTTCCAAAGCAAGAAGTAAAAGGCTATGCTGTTCCAGGTATTCTCTGAGAAAATTACAAAGGAAAGAAGGAAATATAAAAATTTGAAAATACAAATACAGTGCATTTGTAGAAGGAACATGATGGGATAAACTTTTAACCAGGCTCAGACTCTATCACGGGTACAAACTGCACTTGTCAGTATAAACCAAGCATGATATTTTTTCTTCTCACAAGGTGTGCACCCTGAAATGACTTGGCACTTATCATTTTGGCAAATTGGAGCACTTAGCTATGGAAATGCTAATGCGTTTATACACTTTGTGGATGCAAAAACTGTTTGTGCACAGGAGAAAGAAGCCGTTTAAAAACGGGGGGCCTAAAACTGAGCACGTCAAGATCTGTAGTGAAGTTTGCTCTTTACTTTCACATGTTAATTATATGGTCTAAATGAATCCTTAAAGAAATGATGCATCTTTATTTCCAAAGAAGTAGACATTCTTTGAATTGAACTAGCAGATAAATTGCAGTTAGTTTCATTTATATTCTGTGTAAGTTACAGAAAATGGAATTATTAACTTAGGCTACTAAGCCTAAAATGCATAAGATTGAATTTGTCTGATGATAGATTGAAGCTGGGGAGTAATAAACATAAAGCCAGTTTAAATAAGTTAGTGTGACAACCTGTTTCCTACCTGATTTGCTTTATCCTTTTAGTTTTAAATTTATTTTTCAAAGTAGACAACATCTGAAAAATGATCAATTCCCCCCTTACTTCTGTATCTTTTTTTCCAGAGGATGCAAAAGGCACTCTTGCAAGGATGCCCGAATTTAAAGTAAGAGAGAAGATGATACTTCGTGCCTTGAATCGCTATGGAGTGAACCATGAGGGCTGTACACGAGCATGGTTTAGTCTTCCTCATTCCATGCGCATATTTTATGTTCATGCATATTGCAGTAAAATTTGGAATGCAGCAGCATCTTACAGGTTTAAGATATATGGGTCAAAAGTAGTAGAGGGTGATTTAGTCCTCTCTGAAGAAAATGTTGATGAAAGCTCTTCTCTGAATGACCGAGTGAGTTTTGAGTTTACAAACAATATTCCTTGTAAAAGTTAGCTTGGCACACTTAAGTGGTTTAAGATGCAGTAGTCCTGATTTTATGTTTAGACAAGGTTTCTAACTGAATCATGCTACCTTTGCTATTTTCTTTAAATATTAATTTTGATTAAAGGTAGGTAAAGTAGCTTCGCCCCCTCTCAGTTGTCCACAAATAGGCATATGTGATGTCTATACTGTTAAAGCTCCATCCTGGTTAGTGTGTTCAGGGGAAGAATAGAAACAAAATGAAGGTGGATTCAGGGATCAGGACTTGGCCAGATTGGTTATGTATGTATGAAGCCTGGTGATCATTTTCTTATGTATGTTTCTTTCAGTATGGGTCTGAAAGACCTACAAATCAATCTGTTTCTTTTTTCAGAGGTGTTGATATATGGCAGCCAGCTTCTCTCCTGTGCATCAGATGCAGTGTAGACTTTTTGTAGTGTTTTAATGGTCTTCATATGGGCATAACAGTCAGAATAAAACCCAGTTTTTTAAATTTATGAGTGAACATCTTCCAGATACGTACTTACTTCCTGGAGTAAGAGAAACTTAGATGTCACTGTAAATAGTCTTCCAGCTTTAGTAAACCGAAAATTCCTATTTTTATTGTGATTTTGATCAAAACATTATGAGAGGGTGTCCTAATAGATCAAATAGATTAAATCAATGGAACGATGAATTATCATATGTATCTAACTTCAAGTCAGATGAGCATGAATGTGAAGCCCTGTGCTAGAGTCTTGCTTCAAAAGTATTTAAGATTAGTAAATATTTTATGGACAGCTCTTTCCTAATATAATTATTACTTTGTGTTTAAACAGCTTGATTTTGTTGTTGTTGTTAGTTGAAACAATCTTTCTTCATTGTAGTCAAATATGTCAGAATCCTTGATTTATTTGGAGGGCTACATGGAATGTAATACATGATTTGTTCCACAGTCTACTTTTCTATTGTGTCAAACAATAAGTATTTTTATTTTAATTTTTAATGCCAGGTCCACATAGTAACTGCTCCAGAAGAGTCAGCTAACAATTATACAATACATCAAGTAAGTTTGTCTCAAAAATAATATTTCAGGGAGGGGACTGAATTAATGAAAATGGTATTCAAAAAATAATGCAACTAAATTAAAGGTGCAGTTTTATTTTTTACCAGAATGCATCCCTGTAAAAAAAAAAAAAAAAAAAAAAAAAAAAAAAAAAAAAAAAAAAAAAAACCATAAA